CATGGACCAGGCTGGGGGGGACATGGACCAGGCTGGGGAGGTGCACGGACCACGCTGGGGAGGTGCACGGACCACGCTGGGGAGGTGCACGGCTGGCACGCTCAGCGCAGGGACCGGCTGTGCTGGGAGGGCCCCCCGTTCCCCTGGACACCCCACAGGGCTCCCCCGTGCCCCCACACAAGCATACTCACTTCCCAATGTCACTGGGGAGGCTCTGCAGGGACACATCATTGAGGGCCAGGTGGCCCAGGCTCCGCAGCTGCGTGAAGCCCTCGGGAAGCCTGCAGCACACAACAGGGTGAGCTCCGCTCGAGCTCCGGGCGCACGACAAGCCCTGAGCGCTCGCTTGAATGCCCAGATCCCGGCCTCATCCCAACCGCTGCCCGCACGCCAGAGGAGGAGGCAGGAAGCTGCTCTGAGCTGGGCTCCTGAGCCCGCGCCCCCATTCCCAAGGCTCCAACACCCCTTCCAGCCCCGGGGCCGCATGTCCCGCTGGGCAGGCCAGCTCCGGAGCGCTCACACACAGCTCCTAGGCCCAGCTTTGCCACGGGGCCAGCTGAGCTTGGAAGAAGGCAGGGCTTCCAAGCAACCCACGCCTGCAGGCAAGGATGCTTCTGCAGATGATGCCAGTGCATTTCCCAGGACCAGGGAGCATCAAAGCAGCTCCAGGGTGCAGCAGAACAGGGGAAGACCCGTAAAGAAGATGCAGCCTTTGCTGTTTCCAGGCTGCTCCTGGAGCTGCCCTGCCCCGCTGCTCTGGGCAGACAAACCCCAGGCCACCAAAGGTGGCTTTTAAAGCAAGAGCTGCTGTGGTGCGGGGATTGACACTGACTGAAGAGCTACACCATTCTGACACCAAGAGGGAAGGAGGRAAACAAGGTGAAATCTCCTTAAAATGGCAATTTGGGCACTGCTTGCCCAGAAGCACAACGGGCAGCAGTACAAGCGACACCTCCGGGGACGACGGTAGAGAACGCACCGAGTCACCCCGGCTGAAAACACGGCCTGCAAACCCAGAAGAGCCACAGCCAAAGGCGCAGACTGAGAGGTGCAGGGAGCCGAGGCCGGAGGGAGAGGGCAGAGCCCTGCTCCGGCACAGGGCTCCAGGCACCCCGATATCAGCGACTCGGACACATCCCTGGATGTCGCCACAGCCAGAGTGAGCACGGATGTGGACTGCAAGGGACGCTGAATCCAAGGYGCAGACCAGAGAAAGCCCCGGGGAACCTCAGTGTTCGTACTCGGCTGTGCAGGACTGCAGGCCTTCCTACCTGGAGAGAGGGTTCCCGCTGAAGTCTGCGATCTCCAGGGATTTGCAGAATTTGATGCTTTCAGGGATTTCTGGAATGTCTGGAAAAATGCRTGAAACAAAAGAAGAGGCTTGGGAAGAGCCCAACAAATAGGAAGCAGGACAAAAGGCACCTGAGACACAGCACGACAAGCCCAACTTTGCAGCTCGGACCCTCTGAGGGATCCCCGCGTGGGGGCTGCGGAAGGGCAGCAGGGAGCCCCGGGGCAGCCGGAGGGGCAGGACGCCCKGCCCAGCGCCGCCGCCGCGCGCCCCGCGCAGCTCCGGCCTCACCGTTGCGGGAGATGTCCAGCTCCACCAGCTGCATGAAGTTGGCCACCTCCGGCGGCAGCCTCTGGATCTCATTGTCGCTCAGGCCCAGCTTGCGCAGGTTCAGCAGCCTGAAGAAGGGCTGGGATGGAGAGAACAGAACCAGGTCAGCAGCAGGCGCACAGGAAACCTGTCGCCTTGGGCACACCTGGGCACCCTCCCCTGCTGTCAGCCGCCTTTTCTCCTAACCTCTGTCCTGCTGAGGTCCTCAGAGGACAACTACTGAGCAGATAAGAACCCCACTTACGGTCCACMGGAAACCAGGGAAAAAGGAAAAAGGCGCTTAGTGAGATTAGCTTGATGATTCATTTAACATGCACATTATCACACTAAGGWTCTCCCTTCCTTGCAGAGTGCAAAATGGAAGTTCCCTGGAGCAGAAAACRTCCCCGTTACCCTACACACAGCACATCCCAGGCACCTGGGCACGAGCTTCACCAGCAAGTCACTATCAGGCGCCCACAGTTGGCACCGGGATGTTTGTAAGGCTGGGATTAAGAGGCGAAGACCAGGAAAGGGAGCACTGGGAAGACGCAGCTGGAAGGATCTTCCTGCCTGACCTCCCGTCCCTGATATCACCCACACGTGCACCAAGCAGCGCATTTCATCAGGAACATCCACGACGGGTCTGCAAGGCAGCAGCGGGAAGGGATGGGCTGCTCGAACTGAGAGGGAAAAGGCGCATGCAAATGATCCATAGGGTTCATGGAAGCACTGGAAAACCTTCCTAGAAGCATGGGAACTGGAAAAGTTGTCTGGAAGGGACCTCTGCAGGCCTCCTTGTCCAACAGCAGCCAAGATCTTAAATTGTTTAAGTCTTGTTATAATTCTTCCCAACCTGTTCTCAGAGTGAGTTTTATCTGCTCTAAAGGGTAAACCAGAAGACCCATCAGCTATCCTCTTCCTAGACAGATAAGTTTTCTGCACATAATGCACGACACATCGGTACAGTCTCAAAGCTGCTCCTAACTATGTCGGGACCTGGGATACCGGGCAGGAAGAGCCCAAGGCTGTGGAGTTCACCACATTTCCTGCACCGTTTCAGTGGCCTGGGATAACAAACAAACAAACAAACAAAGAGCATTAGGGCCACTGCGGAGAACAGGAGAGATTGAGGAGGTTGCCCCGTAATGCACGGAGACACACGGAGCAGGGCTGTGACCGGGGTGGGGTGCTGGGTGCCACAGCGGTATCTCATAGAATCATAGAATCATAGAATGCCGAAGGTTGGAAGGGACCTCAGAGGTCATCGAGTCCAACCCCCCTGCACACGCAGGGTCACCTAGAGCACGTGGCACAGGGCTGCATCCAAGCGGGTTTTAAAGATCTCCAAAGAAGGAGACTCCACAACCTCTCTGGGCAGCCTGTTCCAGTGCTTTGTCACCCTCACAGTGAAGAAATGCTTCCTTAAGTTCCTGTGGAACTTCCGATGCTTCAGTTTGAAGCCATTTCCTCTAGTCCTATCMCTGYCCACCACTGAAAAGAGGCCGCCYCCCTCCTCCTCACTGCCTCCCTTGAGGTATTTATACACGCTGATSAGGTCCCCCCTCAGCCTCCTCTTCTCCAGGCTGAACAGACCCAGCTCTCTCAGCCTTTGCTCATAGGGCAGATGTTCCAGGCCCCTGATCATCCTCGTAGCCCTGCGCTGAACTCTCTCCAGCAGCTCCACATCMCTCTTGTACTGGGGAGCCCAGAACTGGACGCAGTACTCCAGATGTGGCCTCACCAGGGCTGAGTAGAGGGGGATGATCACTTCCCTCGACCTGCTGGAGACGCTTTTCTTAATGCACCCCAGGATCCCGTTGGCCTTCTTGGCCACCAGGGCACACTGCTGCCTCATGGTCAACTTGTCGTCCACCATGACACCCAGGTCCCTCTCTGCGGGACTGCTCTCCAGCAGGTCCACYCCTAATCTGTACTGGTGTCCAGGGTTATTCCTCCCCAAGTGCAGGACCCTGCTCTTGCCCCTGTTGAACCTCATGAGGTTTCTCGCCGCCCAGTCCTCCAGTCTGTCCAGGTCCCTCTGGATGGCAGCACAGCCCTCAGGGCTATCAGCTACTCCACCCAGTTTGGTATCGTCGGCAAACTTGCCGAGGGAGCACTCCAGCCCTTCATCCAGGTCGTTAATGAATAAGTTGAACAGGACCGGATCTCCATCATACCGGAGCTCTAGACGGCCGCGCTGCAGGACCACCACAGTGCTTTCAGCTCCACGGAGAGGGACCTGGGAGTCCTGGTGGACACCAAGTTAACCATGAGCTAGCGGGGCCCTCCTGGCCAAGAACAGCAACGGGATCCTGGCTGCATCGGGAGGACGCTGGCAGCAGGTCAAGGGAGGGGATCCCACCCCTCTGCTCAGCTCTGGGGAGGCCGCACCTGGAGCACTGGGGCAGTTCTGGGCTCCCCAGTACAAGAGGGATGTGGAGCTGCTAGAGAGGGTCCAGAGAGGAGCAACTAAGATGATTAAGGGACTGGGACATCTCCCGTATGAGGAGAGACTGCATGAGTTGGGCCTGTTTAGTCTGGAGAAGAGAAGGCTGAGAGGGGATCTGATCAACATGGATAAATACATGAAGGGAGATTGTAGGAAGRGGTCAAGCTCTTCTCAGCAGTGGCCAATGACAGGAYGAGGGGTAATGGGTGCAAASTGCAACACGGGCAGTTCCATCTCCAGGTGAGGAGGAACWWSKTCRCTGTGAGGGTGCCAGAGCCCTGAACAGGCTGCCCAGGGCGGTTGTGGAGTCTCCTTGTCTGGAGGTCTCCAAACCCGCCTGGATGCCAYCCTGTGCCCCRTGCCCTGGGGGTCCCTGMTGGAGCAGGGGGGTGTCGCCCCCTGAGCGACACAAAGCGGAGCTTGGCCAGGAGAAAAGCCCAAGCACCAGGCGCTGCTTAACCGCGCGCACCCAGCGCRAACCAGCCCAGCGTGGGCGGAAGGAGCCGGGAGCCTTCAACGACAACAACCCTTCCAGCCCCAACRGGAGCCACCTGATCTGCTATTGTTTCCCAAGTCCCTCTCCTAATTTTAGAACGCAAGGAAATTCCAAGCAACGCATGACGTTGACCGGCGAAGGCTGGGACACAGCAATGGGGACGGGGCATCTCCGCTCCAAGCGTCCAGCGATTCGTTTCTGTTTGGGATATATCGGGACATATCGGGATATATCAGGATAAGATGCGCTGTAAAACGTACGGGATGCGTTTGCCTGGCACAGCAGGGATGGAAAAGCCGCCCATCCGCAGGGCGAACGGAGCAGCGAGGAGCTGACGGCAGCTTTGCTTGCAGCTGTGAGTTACCTTCTAGCTACGTCTCCAAAACCGAAGCAACGAACCGGTTCCTGAGCACAGGAATTGTATCCATGCAATTAGTGCAAATTAGTGCAATTTYATAAAACAAACGGCGTAACGGGACTTTCATTTGCGTAACTGTGTTGCTGAGAACAACCAAAGCCCCCGTGCTCAAAACCCCACGTCTCTGTCAACATCAACCACGCGCAGCTTTGTTTTTCTCAGCATTTCTCCTCCCATCATGACTTAGGTCTTTCAGAGTTCAGTTTAGGTGAATAAAATGACAAAAAAACAGAGGAAGTTTGAGCAGAGAAAATAAATAACTATCACTCTTTCACTGCTCGCTAGCATGTCAGAAGCCCAGCAAAGACCACATGGTGCCCACGAGGATCAGTAAGGCAGGACCCCGATGCAGAGGATTTCAATCAGCACAGAGCATGATCAAGGCAACCACAAATGAATAAATAAAAGATAGGGGGTGACTAGGACAAGAAAAAAAAAAGACGTGGATCAGAAGATATATTGCAAAGATATCCTATTGCTGAAATATGAAATAGTTGGATTGTTGCAGGATGCCCAAGACGGAAGCCTCTCCCAAGCAGTAAATTATCCTGCAAATYAGCCTCAGGTGGCAGGAATTCCTGCAACACCCGGTGCAACACGACGGGATAAAGCAGGCTGGAAATCCACGAGCCRTGGTTCTCACTAAACACTGACAGGCTGCAGAGCAGCTCAAGGTCTGAAGTGTCTGCAAAGCAGCCCAAGGCAAAAGTGGAACAAGCACCTCAAGCTCCACGAAACAGCGGTGTTTGAAAAAGCACTGGAAAATAATAATGAAAAGAGAGTGAAATGCAGACTGCGTAGTGTATTTTCAAGAGGGATAACCTCGTTCAGCAGCCCCTTTTCTGCAAGGCAGCAAGCACAGACCGTCCCCACCGAGGGAGGGGATAACGCGGCTGGGAGGGACCTGGGGAGGGCTCCGGTCCCTCCTCGTGCTCGGGGCTGGGCGAGCGGCGAGGTCAGGCCGGGCTGCGCACGGATTTATCCTGTCCAGTCTTGGAAGGCACCAAGGACGGATTATCCACGAGCGCCCGCGCGGCGAGGAGGGTCCGGCGGCTTTCCGCTTCATCCAAGATCCACCTGAACACTCAAACGTGACCATAAATACACGAGTCGGGGAGGATGAGACCCGATCCTGGACATACAGACCCCTGTCTTGGGATTAATTAAAATAAATTAAAATATTTAATAAATTTAAAGAAGAAAAATATCCCGTAGGGCAGAAGCGCCAACCAAACCCGGCTTGCACGTGCTGGGGACCCAAAGTTGGGAAGCGCCCGAGCCCCAGGCAGCCGCTGAGGCCCAGGGACAAAAAGCTCTTCCCTGATGGGGAATTCCCTATTCCCTTTGGGAATGCAAGGATTCCCAAAGCCYCTGTGCGGGGCTTGGCACCCAGCGAGACCCAGGCCGCGAGAGTCCCCTGTCCTAGGAAGCTCAGTATGTACATAAATATATATATATGTGTATGGAGCTCTTATAGAATAAGCGGTAACCTCATTTTATAGAGTCATTATGGTTGGAAAGGACAGGGCAGGCCCAGCTCAAATCCTGCAGCTATTGGCAGCACGGGGCAGGCCCAGCTCAAATCCTGCAGC